ATAAGGGCCTGGTGTTTATCCAGGAGAATTTCATAAGGCCTGAGACTTAGGCTCCGAGTATGGGAAAAATTTTTTCCGTGTCCTAATTGTTGTGACATCTGGGTTGGATGACCTTATGGGTGAACCTAGGAATGTCTCTGGGCCCTCATGCCAGGTTGAACTGAGTATTGAGTATGTTTTACTTTTTGACTTACGAATTAAAAACCCAGCAGGTTATTTTTTTAAAAAAATATGCCCAATCATTCTTTTTAAAATAATACTTATCTGGACTACTCATACCCCAACCACAGTGGTTAGCATATTACAAGACTCAGTGATACCTACTTTTAAGGTAAAATTAATTTCTTACCTTTTTTCTTTTTAAAAATATTTGCTTATTTATTGTAGTTAATCTGTTTTTTCTTTTTATTGAATTTATTGGGGTGACATTGGTTAATAAAATTATATAGGTTTCAGGTGTACAATTCTATAATACATCATCTCATTCCAAGTCTCCGTGCATCACTATTTATCCCCCCATACCCTCTTCTACCTCCCCCCACCCCCTTTCCCTTTGGTAATCACCATACTCTTATCTGTGTCTATGAGGAGTTTTTTTGTTTTGTTTTTTCCTAATCGTTCACCTTTTTCATTAAGTATTTTCCTTATTTATAAAGGTACCTATTGTAGGAAACTTGGAAAATACAGAGGCATAAAAAATATCATAAAAATTACCTATAATTATTTATAGTATCCCAATTCACCCAGAGATAACTACTGTTAAAATTTTGGTAAGTTTCCTTAAATTTTACAATTCAAATTAAAAACTTACACAATAATACACATATTTATAATCATACAAGTAGCAATGAGAACATCCTTATAAATATTTGAACACTACTGACAAAGCTAAAATCTTCCTTTTCTACCAGCTCTTGCTAGAGTTTCCTCCTTCCCCAGGAATAGCAGCAGATCCGTTAGGGTGTGTCCTCTTAGGTGTGTGTCTACATACATAAATGTACATACAGAGTACAGAGTGTTAAAGCACTATTTGTGCATTTAATTATAACTTAACAATGAACCTTAGGGACTTTTCTTAAAGTGTTGTAGAGTATTCCACAGATTGGATGAACTATAACCTTTTGTTTTATTGATTGATTGATTTGAGAAAGAGAGAAAGATGGATTTGTTGTTCTACTTATGCATTCATTGGTTGATTCTTTTTTTTTAATCCTCACCCGAGGATATTTTCTCCATTGCTTTTTCAGAGAGTGGAAGGGAGAGAAAGAGAGAAACATCGATGTGAGAGAAACACATCAATTGGTTGCCTCCCGCACATGCCCCTACCAGGACCGGGGATTGAACCTGCAGCCAATGTATGTGCCCTTGGCGAGAATCGAACCCGCGACCCTTCAGTCCGCGGGCCAGCGCTCTGACCACTGAGCCAAACAGGCTAGGTCTCATTGGTTGATTCTTTATGTGCCCTGACTGGGGATCCAACTCGCAACCTTGGCTTATTAGGATGACACACTAACCAGCTGAGCTACCTGGCCAGGGCTAAAATACAACTTTTAAAAAAATAAACAGACATTTATGTTGTTTCTAATTTTTTAAATATTTCACTTAATGGTGCAGTGAGCATTTTTGTAGCTGCCTTCGTTTGGACAGGTATGGTGTGGGTAAATATGGAGAAGTGGAATTTCTAGGTCACAATGTATGTTGTTCTTAAGGTTTTTTTTGTTTGTTTAATAAAGTTTTATTTTTCAACATGTACAAGTGAGACCTGTTGTTTATGCATCTTCACCAACAGCTGGGGCATCCCCACCTTTGGTGTTTCTGGTGTAAATTATTTGAACTCTGTGTTTTGAAACTAGTTTAGTAAGTCATTTACTTAAGGAGCTCCTGAAGGGCTGCCCTGGCCAAGGAGCCACAGATCTTCAGTGTCTGAGACAACAGCTGGGGTTATAAGCTTATAGTTGGAAACTTCCTTACAGAGTTTGTCATATGTTGCTTTGTCGAACAAGACTAGGTTATTGAGGTTGTCCTGAACTTTGCCTTTGGACCATGTCTTCTTTTCGGCCTTGCCCCCAGATTTGTTCACTGGGTCTTTGTCTTCCTTGGCTGACTTCCCAGCGTCTGTCTTCTTATCGTTGTTGGGCGGCATAGCACTCGAAGAGCAGCTGCTACCACTGCCATCTCAATAAGATTTCAGACAGAAAGCTAGGTCCTGGCCGAGTAGCTCAGTTAGAGCATTGTCCCAATATGCCAAGGTTGCAGGTTTGATCTTGGGTCAGGGCACATACAAGAAGCAACCAATAAGTGCATAAATAAGGAGAACAACTTTCCATGTTGTAGCATGTGTCAGAATTATTTAGGCTTTTAAAATTTCTTTTTAAAGCTAATATTCCATTGAATATATGTACCACATTTTGTTTATCCATTCATCCATCAGTGGATAGTTGGATTGCTTCCACTTTTTGACTATTGTAAATAATGTTGCTATCAACGTGGGTGTACAAATATCTCTCCTTGCTGCTCTTTGAACACTATAGGCACTTCATCATGTTACTCAGAATGGTGTGCAACTTAAAACCTATATGATTTATTTGTTTCTGGACTTTTCCATTTAATATTTCCAGATTGTGGTCGACCACTGGTAATTGAAACCATGGAAAGTAAAATTGCAGATATGGAGGAGCCTACTGTACAAACATTTTACACTTTAATAGGTAGTGCCTAAAAGTGTCTTTCAAAAGTGTTAATTAGTTTACACTCTAGCCAAAAGCATCTGAAGCTGGTAAATTATTGATTTGCCTTGTTAACAGTTTGCTCTTAAAAAGTTAACCAAACCTGCTCTGTATTTAACCCTGCTAAGCAAGAGAGAGCTGGTTGGTAAAGAAGAGGCAACATTGGTTGTTTTAATTGACTGATGTTGTCCTAGCCCCCTCCTGTGTGCCAGACCTGGTGTTCAGGCAGGGGGAATTTAGTAACAAATAAACAGACACAATTCCTCCCCTTCTGGAGCTTACAAACCACTGCAGACAGGTCTCACAGATGAACGTCAAGAAGTAGTAAGTGGGAATGTAAAATGGGTTCTCATTGGGCTGGGAGTTCAAGAATGATTCTCTGAGAAAGTGAAATTAATTTGGAACTTGAAGGATTAATGAGACTTATCTAGACAAGAGGCAGATTGGGAAGGGGATGGGCAGTTAATTTACAAAAAGAAAGAAATAGGTCTGTATATAGACATTGGAAAGATGTATAAGATATTTAGATAAATGATAAAACCCAGTTGCAGAACAACTGGTTTCTTGTGTAAAAAACACAGAAGGGGCTGAGTGTATGCTTCTAAATGCACAGGAGTAATAACAGAAACTGTGCCAAGTGCTTTGTGTAATCTCCTATCCTCACAATGGCTCTGTGTGGAAATGAGTGTTCAGCGAAGGTAAACTGTCCAGGATGACTCAGATAGTAAATGGTGTGCCATACTTTAAGCCCAAGCCTCCCCACTGGGGCAGCGGCAGGTTGTAGCTGCAGCTGCAACGTACCGTGTCCTTCTGTGCACAGGCTGTTGAAAGTCCTTTGATGTATCATTGTGGGTTCTTCATCCCTACCCAGTGAGGCAGATCATGAGGATCCCTTGGTGGATTTTGAGCTGGAGGGCAAGTGGATCTGAAGTCTGCATTGGGAGCTCACTGCTGCTGTGGTGGGTAGGTGGGTAGTGATTGGGGTTGCTGTTCCTAGTGGGGTCGGCTCTCACCACTTGGTGACCTACACAGGGAATGGCACCTGTTCACTTGTATTGGTTCAGATGCTGAGGTTGGCAGGGGTTGGATTTAAATGTCCAGGTGACACAAAAAAGGGAAACTGGGGCGATAGCTTGAGCTTTGCCTTGTCCTTGCCCAAGGGCATATTCCCCCTTAGGCAGGGAATGCCACCTAGAAGGGAAGTGGCTGTTCCTTTCCCTGTCATTTCTTTGGGTTCATTTATTCTTCCCTGGTCAAAATGAACCCTATTAAGGTTGTCATCCACAGTTTAAAAATAACTAATACAGATCCCATCATAATAGTCGTTTATCTATTGCTGCACAACAGATTTGTTGCCCCCAAACTTAGAGTCTTAAAACAACAAACATTCTTGCTCAGTTCCTGTGGGCCAGGGATTTGGGAGCGGCTTGGCTAGATGGTTCTGGTCCGGATCGTTCAAGCAGTTGCAGTCGAGATGTCAGCCAGGCTGCGGTTATCTGAAGGTTTGGGCTGGAGCTGGAGCTAGGGCGCTTGCTTGCAAGATGGTGTGCTCATATGCCTTGCAACGTGGTGCTGGTTATTGTCCTCAGTTCCTCTCCAGGTGGGCCTCTCCCAGGACTGCTTAAATGTCTTTAAGCAGACAACATGGTGGTTGTCTTCCCCGAGAGCAATCAAAGAAAAAGAGCCAGGTAGAAGCTATCCTTTTGTGACCTAGTCAAGGGATGAGAAAATATCCAAAGCACATGCATGCAGTTTTCCTCATTAATTCTTCCACCTATTCAGTAATTATTTATTGACTCTCTAGGATGTGCCAGGTAGTCTAGATACAGAGACAAATAAGACAAGTAAAGCTTGACACTAACCCTCAAGGAGCTTAGAGCGCAGTAGAGTAGCAGCTATGCCATGCGTGGTGCTTCCCAGCTCAATGAGAACTTGTACACACGTTCTCACCTGACCTTTCCAGTAACCCCGTGATCAGCAGACTGGTTATGCCCCCATTTCCCATCTCTGGTGTGCAAATGATGGTGGATTTTCTTAAGTTGATAGAACTTGACTTTGCTCCAGTTCTAGCTATAGATCCCTTACCCTTTCTCCTGCCACAAGCTGTGTTCCTGTGGCTGCTGTATCATCCCTATGACTCAGATGAGGAAGCCAAGGCTACAGTCCCTGAATAGCTCTTGACATCGTCATTTCTCACCTTTTTCACCTCACTGATGCCTCAGGTGGACCACCCTAAGTCCTCATTGACAGTTGCTGTTGTCTTTCTTCTTGCAGAAGGCCCTGGGTGTGCGGCAGTACCATGTGGCCTCAGTCCTGTGCCAGCGGGCCAAGGTGGCCATGAGCCACTTTGAGCCCAACGATTACATCCGCTACGACCTGCTAGAGAAGAACATCAACATTGTTCGCAAACGGTAAGGCCGCTGGGAGCCTGGGGACTGCTAAAGGTGCTGCTTCTGCCCCCAGCCCCTCTCAGGCAGCATAGCAGGTGCTTGATGGAGGGTGGCTGATGATGGTGGCAGGACCGAGGCACTTAGGGTACAAAGGTCCCTGCTGAGGAGAGGCATTCCAGATTGGCTGTGGCCCTTCTGCTTTCTGCCAACGAGAAGTCTGTTATCAAGAAGCCTGGTGATGTGGACCATAGGGAAGGTCTGAGGGACTCTTAGGTGCTATCATCTGACCCTCTCAGACACCCTTTCCAGGACAGGCTGCTGACCCTGGGCCAGCCCTCTGGGATCCACTGGGCCTAATTGCTAGAGAAATATCTCTTTCCTCCTTTGTGAGTAGGCCCAGAGGAGAGCTTGGGTGGAATCTTGAGCATTTTGGAGGGGTTTCTCTTTCCAGCTTTGTACTGCCATCTTGTGCGCCAGGTCCTGGGCTAGGTGCTGGCACCAGAAGGATGAATAAGATGGCACAGGAGAGTGTGGGCAGGGGCTGGGAGCATGCACCAGCCGGCACTGCTCCTGGAGCTTGGACCACTCCCCGCCTGGTGGCAGTGACCCTCGGAATAAGCGAGAACAGATTATGAATATACCCATTTCACAGCCAAGGAACAGGCTCAGGTGGAGAAGCAACTTTCCTGAGGCCACTCAGTGAGCGAGTGGTGGGACCTGGACTCCATGTTCTCATCCAGTGCTCTAGCCACTGTCCCACACTCCCTCTCTGTCGCCACTGTTTACCTCTTTACTGGGACCCTCACTTCACTTCTAAGGGTAGGGACTGTATTAATCTTTATCTAGTTGTAGTAAGGACCTGTGAATGTTCGGCAAGGGTGGCCATACTAATAAGAGCTACCTAAGTGTGCAGTTTGGGCTAGGCGTATCACATACATGATTTCTGTTCTATTCAACAACCTCTGTAGGTGGTTGTTACCCCCTCCTCCTCATTTTGCAGATAAGAAAATTGAGTGTCAGATTGGGGAAGTGCCCTGCAGGTCTGACTCCAGTGCCTCCCAATGTCAGTTACAGCATTCTTTTGGGTTTCATTTAGGCTGCAGGTTAGAATCCCCTGAGAAGCTTTTAAAACTGCCAACACTAGGCCCCCAGTGATTCTGGTTCAGGTTGTGAAGGCCTTACTCCTGAAAATGTGGTCCATGGATTAGCAGCGTCTGCATCCCTGGGCCCCTGGGATGTTGTTAGCAATGCAGAACCTCAGGCCCCAGCCCCACCCCAGTAAGTCAGAATCTGCTGTTTAACAGCATCTCATCAAACTGTTAGTAGCACTGGCCAGTTTCCCAGCTGGTTCTAAAGTGTTGTCAGGGTTGCGAACCACTGTCCCCATCAATGTGGGACCTGTACAATTATTTTCCCCCCAGGAAACAATACTTTACTTATTCTTGCAGCTCTCTGACCATAGTTCAGTGGGAAAATGACGGATTTTCCTTTAGTCTGCAGAACAGCCACCTTGTTGTTCGTCATACTTGGAGAGAGCGTTACCGTAGAGGTTTGCTTTATGAAAACGTGACAGAGTATCGTTCACCTTTTAGTCTTTGCTTTAGAAAATTAACCAAAAACTGCCCTCTAAAGCACTGGGAATTTTTTGTTTTAATTATATAAGTAAAATTAAGCAAAAAAGGTTTTTTCCTTTGCCTGTTTATTCCAACCCTGCATTAACCAGAAAAGTCCATTAATTTACAGCATTTTCCAGATCAGTGCAGATAAGGGCTGTTCTGTTTTCATTGTTGCCAAAGAACAGGGGTTCTCCCTGGGGGTAAGGGGTGGATTTTGTCCCCTAGGGGAATTTGGCAGTGTCTGGAGACATTTTTGGTTGTCCTAACTCAAGGTGGAGTGGGGGTTTAGTCTAGTGGGTAGAGGCCAAGAACACTGCTGAACTTCCTACAGTGCAGAAGACAGCCTCACCGCAAAGAATCATCGGCCCAAACTGTCCGTGTGCCACGGTCGAGAAACCTGAAGGTAGAAAAGAAGGTAGAAGTGAGGCTATTCTAAAAAGATGTTAGTGAATTAAAATACATTCAAGAATGTTTTGAAAATCCAGGGGTCTTGCAGGGGGACTCTTTCTTCACCCTATGTCTGTGACTGAAGGGGCCCAGTTCTGTTCCTGGGAACTGGCTCTCTGCCATTTGGTGAAACAGAGGGACATAGAGGACCCATTTTGCCATCCTCAGTTAATGCTCAAGGAAATGTGATGATAGACTCGTTCTTAGGCTTTTTTCATTGTTGGACTTTTTTCTACAGCTTCAGGCATTTGCTGTCAAGGTCTTTAGCTTTGAAGCCCATGTGCTATTTTTTGTCTCCCCTGGGCCCAGGAAGAGGGGCTCCGCTCCGTGCGGTGAGTCTCTGCAGGGCCACCAGCCTTGGAGATGCTGCACAAAAGGGGGCAGGCTGTACCTCAGGCCAGCGCTATTTTTATTCAGGGTTCTCATGACAGCAGAACCTTGGAGATTCTCAGCATTGCCACTTGCTCTGCTGTTGCCCACTGAGCCAGCACCTTAGGGAACTCTTGCTCTCCAGGGATTCAGCAAACTTGGGAGTGAGGGGCTAGGACCAGGCCAGCGGGAGAGAGGGTCTTTGCTTCCCCAGTAGACCTGAGTCCTGTTGGTAATAACAATAGTGATAACGAGTGAACACTCACTGCAGGCTGGCCCCGCAGGTGTTGTTGAGAGACAGCACAGGACAACGTAAAGAGCATGGACGGTGTAGCCACACTGCTTGGCTCCTTGTGTTCTGCCGCTGCCACTTGCTAACTTTGTGACCTGCAGCAGGTTACCTCACCTGCGCTTCAGCTTCCTCCTCAGTGTTGTGAGGACAGAATGAGTTCTGTACAGTAAAGTGCTCAGAGCAGTGCTGAGCTAAAAGTAAATGCTGTGATGAAACCAATCTGTAGTGACAGCAGATTAGTGGTTGCTTGGGGGGTGGGGGTGGGGGGGCACAAGGAAACTTGGGGATGATGGATGTGTTCGTTATCTTTTTTTTGTACATAACCCCAAATTTTAATTTTCTTGCTATTATCAGTTAATCTTTTTTTAAAAGTTTATCTTTATTGTTGAAAGTATTACAAGTGTCCCATTTTTCCCCCCATTGATCCCCGCCACCTCGCTCCCACCCCGCCCCAGCCCAGGCCTTCATCCCATTATTGACTGTGTCTCTGGGTTATGCATATATGCACAGAACTTCTTTGGTTAATTTCTCCCCACCCCCCGTTCCCCCCTTCCCTCTGAGATACGACAGTCTGTTGCATGCTTCAGTGTTTCTGGGTCTGTTTTGTTTGTCTGTGTTCATTATCTTGATTGTGGTGATGAGTTCACAGGTGTGTACATATGTCAAAACTTATCAAATTGTGTACTTTACATATGTGCAGTTCATTGCACTCCAGTTATACCTCAATAAAGCTGTTTTATTATAAACACTATCTGTTATCTCATTCCAGTCAAAGCCCTGGACTTCAGAGATGGGTTGGTGAGCTCCCTGTAAGGGAATGTCGCTAATGTGGTCACACAGTGGCTTAGTAATAGGGTCAAGTCTAGACTCAGAGCCCATGACTCCTGATACTTTTTTTTTCTTGACTTATTGAGTGTAAGTGGAACTCTGCTCCTCCCCAGGAGGCCTCAGGTTTGGCATAAGCTTTGTGCATGGTGGGAGGCAGTGTGAGGTCCAGCCATGGCTGCTGTGGCAGGAGAGGGAGCAGCTGCTGTGCCGTGTGGCAGCTAGGTTCAGTGGGCAGCATCAGGGAATCATCAGGGCGCCTCAAGGTGGGTGGCCGAGGTGACCTGCACTGACCTCGTTCTGCTGTGGGGACCCTGGGGGGGAGGAGGCAGTTGAGTCCTGGCTGGGGCTGCACCTCCCCAAGGGTCAGACTTGGACTGCCATTTTGGCTCTGATGAGGAGGGGAGGGGTGAGACTTAGAGGGAAATGGGGTCTGGAAAGAGGGGGACCAGTGAGAGGCTAGAGGTGGTGATACGGGGTTTCTGTTCTTGAGAGCTGACAGCCGCACCTCTCTTAATGAGGTGAGAGCAAGTGGGGCTAATGGGCAAGGCTTTAGCATAATAGGGTAAGGGGGCCTCCGACCCCTGGGGTGGAGGCTGTGGATGGAGGGCAGGGCAGGTTGGGCGAGAGGGTGCCGATTCAGATCCTCTGTCTTTGTGGTCTGACAGCACAGGGGAGTTGTTCATGGACAGAGAGAGGGTTCACGGTGAGACTGGCTGTGAACTTAAGGTATTAACACCACTCTGCTGAGCTTCCACTCCCTCTTGGTTGTTTTATTAAGTGCCAAGGCTACAATGGGGATTAAATAGAGTGAAATACATGTAATAGATGCTCATCAGATAATAGCTATTAATATGCTAAAAAAAAAAATCCTTAAAAAAAATATCCCTGCCACCTCTTGTGATGATGTCATTAACTTATTTATTGAGTAATTTTGGAGCACCTAGTAAGTGCCAGGTGCTGTGTCGTGTGCTGGAGATGCCACAGTGAGCAGTACCATTCTGTCCCCTCCCTCGTGGAACAAAGGGTTCCCTCCTGCCCTCTGTCAGGGTGGCCATGTGCACAGAAGGGCAGTGCTGTGGGTGGGCAGAGGACTGTGCAGACTGTATCAGGCAACCCCTCCAATTTCCCCCAGACTGAACCGACCTCTGACCCTCTCTGAGAAGATTGTGTATGGACACCTGGATGACCCAGTCAATCAGGAGATCGAGCGGGGCAAGACGTACCTGCGGCTGCGGCCCGACCGTGTGGCCATGCAGGACGCCACAGCCCAGATGGCCATGCTGCAGTTCATCAGCAGCGGGCTGCCCAAGGTGGCCGTGCCGTCCACTATCCACTGCGACCATCTGATCGAGGCCCAGGTCGGGGGCGAGAAAGACCTGCGTCGGGCCAAGGTGAGCTGCAGGCGGTGTGGGGGCACAGTGGGTGCAACGGGATGAGAGGCCAAGCCCTCGAGCTGGGCATGGCCTCCACGTTCTAGTGGGCTCTTTTTTGGGGGTTAGTCTTTTTTGTTTTGTTTTCTTCTCTGATTCTTAAAAGGTCATTTACTCATTGTGAAGATGTTAGTAAATACGGAGAAAACCTATAAAAAACAAAGTCATCCTTACTATATGAAAGGTATTTTGTTCTGGTTCTTTCTCTGTTATATTAGAAAAATTGTGCAGCCGTCAGGTTCTGGTAAATATTGTCAGTTGCTCTGGAGAGGGTAGTTTAAATTTCCCAATCTGCCAGCATCACGTGTGTGTTCACTCACACTTTTGTCTGACCCCTAAGACCCTATCAGGGAGGTAGGCCTGTGGCTATTGTATAAATTTGAGGCAGCCAAGGCACTGGGCAGGCAAGTCCTACAGCTGCATGGGGTGGGGCACGGTTAGGCCCAGACCCAGATCCGGCTCCCACTTGAGTGCTGCCTCTTACTGACTGGGCTCCTTTGGGGGTTTCTTCTTCTGTTTTGCCTAATGAGATACGAGGGGCTATGTGCCATGCTGAATTCCCCCCACCCTTCCTTATGAACCAAATCCCTGCCCCTCCCCCAGGCTCTGCTTGTGGTACCTTTGTGTGTGCTTACTCTTGGCAACGGTCTGTCTCTCCCAGGACTCCACCTTCTCCACCCCCAGCAGTGGAAGTGGGCGCCCCTCATGGAGGGTTGTTGGCAGGAGCTGAATGTTGGCAGGGCTGTGGCCCGGCTGGGCACAGAGCAGGGTGTGCAATTGAAAGTGCTCCAGCTCCCAGGGTCAGCACAGCTCAGAGAGGCCCTCAGACCCATGGGAAACACTCAGGGCAGCTTTCCCATTCAAGCCCTTTTTTCCCACCCTGGCCCACCGGTTTGTGTCCTAGTTGCACAGAGGCTCTTTTTGCACTCGGCTGAGAGAGCCCAGCCTGCTGGCTAGTGGTTTCCATGTTAGCAGCAGCAGTGATGGTAGCGTTGCAGGGGCTCCTGTGGTGCCCAGAACGGGGCATGCCTGGAACTGGGTAACTGCCCACAGCAGGGCTACCACCTTCAGAGTCTGGCCTTCCCCTTACTTTGTGGATTCAGACTCTGTCTTCTGGAGATGAGAGTCACAGAATCATAGGGTTTAAGAGCTCATTCCCTCATTTATTTAACAGATATTTATTGAACATTAATTATATGCCAGACACTGTGCCAGGGGGTAGGGATTCAGTGTAAACAAGACAGATGGGCCCCACTATCGTGGATCTTAGAGTCTAGTAGGGACACAGAGCTAAACAGTGACACAAATAAATAGGAAATTGCCAGTTTGTATATGTTATGAAGGGAGAACACAGGACTGAGAATAAGAAAAGTGTCTGCTTTGTACTTTAGAGGGGAAGGAACACCTTTTTGAGGATGTAAGCTGAGACCTACCTGAGCAGATAAGTTGATGTTAACTGGAGGAAGAACATTCTAAAGAGAACTGTGTGTAAAGCCCCAAGGCAGGAAGCAACTCAGTGTATTTGTGGAATTGAAGGGTGGGAGACTTGTGGGGCTGGAACTCTGTGTGGCAGAGAGGGTGTGGTGAAGTGGTCTGCGGCAGACATTGGCAGGGCCCTGAGGGCCATCCTAGGAGTCGTTGAAGGGTTTAAGCAGGGGAGGGATATGGTCAGATTTACATGTTTAGGGCCCAGAGAGGCAGAGTGATCTGTCCAGGGTCACACAGGCAGCCAGAGGGATCTAGTCCGAGTTCAGGCCTAGATTGCTGCACCAGTCTGGGGCCACCACACTGCCTCTTCCCCTGCTTGCACAGACATGGATTGGAATATGCACCCAGACACATGACCACCTGCCTCCAGCCCTTGGTACCAGTTTTATAAGTGACTGATTTGTAAATGAATAAGCCAATATATTAATAATTAATTGGAAAGAGACCGCTCTGGGAACCCAGCTTCTTTGTCTGCCATTCTTTCACCTGGCAGAACCAAATGGGCCCTCAGAAGGATGCATGGTTGGTCTGCAGTTTAGGTGGGGGTTATGTGGTCTTGAGGGTGTTTTATTGAGGGCCCAAGTGAACTCCCGTGCCTTGGAGCATGGCTCTTCCGTGCCCAGAGCCTGACAGGTCTCATTTCCTAGTTCTGCCTTTGGGACTCTGCAGTCTGCTGTGGTCCCATCCCTCTTGTCACTGGGGTCTCACTGTCCAGGGGCATTCATGGCTTTCAGACAAACCCCAGCTTCAGAGCAGTGTGCTGGGAAGCCTGCCTTCGAATTACAGACAGAATGGGTACAGCCCGCCCCATTGTTTTGTTGAAACCTACATTTCAGGACATGGTCCATTTGGCAGTCTTTCATTTGGAGCCCATCAAACATATTACCAAGTATTGAGCACCTGTACCACGCTGGATGCTGGCCTAGGTATTCTGAGATGTGGGGAGGTAGCGTTATTTTATATCAGGATGTAGCTCTCAGGCTTGGGTTGATCAGACCTGGTTTCAAACCCTAGCTTCTCTGTTTAACTCTGGGATCTCCAGCAAGTTGTTTCCCCTCTGAGCCTCTATTTTTGCATCTATAAAATGGGCTTGATGACAATACCTGTCTCCCTCACGGGATGGGTTGTGAGGATGTTTAGTGTGATGTATTTCTGTAGTTGGGCATTCAGTAAATGTCCGCCAGGATTACAGATGAGGCGCCCAAGGCTTAGATAGAGAAGCTCGCCAGTGCCACAGTTGTGCTGTGGTATGCCCTGCACTGCTGGCTTTGGTAGAGGACTGAGGGTCAGAGGGCCCCTGGAGGTGATGTAGCTGGTTCCTTCTACAAATAAGGAGACCAAGACCCAAGGCAGAGAGGGAACTTGTTCTGGACCCACTCCCTGGCCAGGAATCATAGAGCTGGGGTTCTGTCTCTGCTCCCTTGTTTTTCTCCGAGGCCTGGCAGCTGAAATGGTGGGCCACCGTCCAAGCCCTTTTGGATTTATTTGCAGAAGGCTCCAGGAGAGAGCCCGTCTCCACAGTGCCAGCATTTCAGAGTCATGGGGGAGGTGAGGGAGGGAGGAGGGCATGAGCAAGGGTAGTTCCAGACACAGACTGGGTTACTAATGCTCTGTATTGATTTGTCTCAATAGGACATAAACCAAGAAGTGTATAATTTCCTGGCATCTGCAGGTGCCAAGTATGGCGTGGGCTTCTGGCGGCCTGGCTCTGGAATCATTCACCAGGTAACGAAGGGCTTGGCCTGCCTTTTGGGGGCGGTGGCAGGCTGCCCTTAGGGAACCAGAGAGCACCTCCAGGCCTGCGGGAGCAGGGGGCTCGGGGCTCAGGAGGGAGAAGGGGGAATTGGAAGACAACATCTCAGTCAGCCCTTAGGCTCCTCTTCCTTCATTTTTAAATTAATTTTCATTATGTCAGGTTATACATTAAAATAGTGCCTCTGAGCATCTCAGGAACCAACATTTTAAGTTTGGCCTGCTTCTTGCTGCACCTTCTAAGCACTATAGTATTGTGTTACTTTTTGTTTTGCTTTCTTCCACGAGTGTGACTCCTTGTTGCATGGATGGCTAACTCTAGCTGAGCACATACCCTGTGCCAGGCACAGTGCTCACCACCACCGCATGTAGTAGGTGTTTTATTAGCCACACCTTACAGGTGAGGAAACTGAGGCACAGAGAAGTTATTCTCCTTGCCCAGGGACACCCAACTGTCCAGTTGTGGAGCAGGATTTGCACCCAGGTGTCTGGCCCTGGTGCCAGCGCTCCCCACCGCTGTGCTGCTTTGTGGCCTCCCGTCACACTGGGAGCACTTCCCCCTTAGGGCTCACAGGATTCCTGGAGTCTTTCTGGCCCCTTCTTGGTATTTGGTAGGGTGGAGGTACCATAGGCCATGGGGCTGTCGGCCAGGAGTTCTTCCAGGGTCTCTCCAGGGAGGAATTCTCTCTTGGTTGGCAGTTGTGTCTCTGTTCGTGCAAGTGTTTGTGTTTGTGGGGAGATGGGTGCTTAGCTTTTCATCACAGGACCGCTCACCTGGTTTGTGGGTATGCACTGTTTTGTGTCCTTTGCCACCCATTATACATGTGAAACCTGCCTCTTCTTACCTTTCCAAGGTGACCCTTCTTCCCACCTCCATACCGAGCCTCACTTCCCAGGCCTCCTTCAGGATGAGCTGAGTCAGACTGTAACACAACCCTGTGGGCCCCCAGCACTGTCCACTCTGAATCCAGAGGCCACGGATCACTGCTCTGCCCTTTCACACCATCGCCCTTGCCAGGAAGGGACTGCCTCCCTCAGCGGCATGGCCGGGAGTCAGATGGACCCAGCCTTGACCTTTTGTTGCTAAGGTCACCCCAATCCAGGTGTCCCCCATTCCACCTCAGTACAAATGCCCAGGTCTTTTTGGAAGCTCCTGGGCCAAAGTTTGGGGCTTTGAGTGATAGCTCACACCTGCCACTGGCCATCAGCTAAGCGTACAGCCTGATGCATTTGTTCCTTTAAAAAGGAAATTCTCAGGGATCCTGTGATCCTATGCAGCTTTACTTTTCTCTCCCTCTTGATGTCGGGCCTTCCGAAGCTTTAATCCACCATGTTGAAGTCAAACCTTAACTCCTTTCCACCCCCCTTGAATGCCCTGGCAGTTCTCCTCCCCACCTCTGCCTTCTGGTTACCCAGTGCCTCCCCCTACCCCCCCACCCTGTGCCCAGCATTGGCGCCCTCTTGTGGGACCCCTTCACAGTATGACCCCAGTGTGTGCTTTCTCCACTTGACTGTGTGCTCTGGGGACAGGGCCTGTGGCTTATTTCTTCCTCTCTAGCTATGGGCCTTCAGCCAGGTCAGTACAGAATAGGTCCTCAGTGTATGTGTGTGTTGTGTGGACGGACAGCTGAATTTCCAGCTTTATGTTCTAGATGTTAGTTCACCCTAAAATACACTTCTCCCGCCGTCACCCCACCCCCATTCACTCAGCCACATGCAGCTGATCACTAAGGTCACTGTCACAACCAGCTTTATGGTGATACTTTCTGCAGTCCATAGGTCTGCACTAGCCCCTCCCTTTTGGATGTGGACCACACTCGTGGTCTACACCATGTGGACACACTGAATTTTGTGTGTCTGGTCTTCATGGATCAGTCTTTCACCATCTTGAGGAGCTCAAGGGATTAATTAGTTTTAAATCTTTGTACATGGCTGGGGCAAGGAGGGCCAGAGAAACGAAACAGCCAGAGTTCTCTCTAGCAGTTGTGTGTTTTTTTAGAGATTTCCTCTATGTTGGCCAGCCAGCTGCCACCCTCTGGGAAGGGGCCAGATCTTCTGACTCTGAATTCCCAAGAGGAAGAGCCCTCGTACCTTGCTGAGTCTCCTGGGCAGGTGCCTGGCTTGGGCCAGAGGCCCTGGGGTTTCTGTAATGTTGCAGGGAGCCTGCCTACCATTTGGTTGGTCCTAACAGTTCATAGAACCTTTCACATCTCTGATCTCATTTGTCCTTCCCAGCACCTGTATGCGTGTTGGAATAATTCCATCTGGCAGATGAGCAGCAGAAACTCAGATAAAGGATCTTGCTGCAAATAATAAATGAAAGTAACGCATCTCCCAGGCACTATTGCAGCTTACTGTACATAATCTCACTGAGCCATCTCAGTGATGCAGTGAGGTGACCACTGGTGTCCACCTCTTTTCATAGATGAGGAAACTGAGGCTTGGAGAGGTGAAGTGATTGCCTCAGGGCCCACAGCTACTAGTAGTTCTGGGGCCAGAACTCAGACTCAGCATGTAGCCTTCTGGCCGGGCTTTCCCGGTAGTTTCCTGCAGCCATCAGTGTCCCGCACCTCGGGCTATCCTGGGATAGCTGACTCTGTGCCACCATCACTGCCAGCACCTTTCAGCTGGAGGAGTCTTGATAAAGGGAACGCCGTGCAATAGGAAAGGTGATGGGGCCAATTATTTTCCTGAGCTAGCCACTTCAGTTCTCAGAGCCACCTCCAGGCTGCTGGGGTTGGGCAAACATCGCCTGTACTGCTGTTCAGTTCAGCAGTGGAAAAGCTTAGGCCTGTGTTGCCTTTGGGTCCCCAGTGCTTCCTTGCGGGGGCTGGAGCCAGGTCATGAAAGAATTGCCTGCCCTGATCGGAAGCCAAATAGGCACACTCTCATGTCCACCCCACAAGTCAGGGATTGTCATCAGGGGCACCTCTCAGTGGTCACACTTGTTCCCAGGCCTGTCACAAGATGCATGCTTGTATCCCAGTTTATATGGTTCTTACCATAGTCCTGGGGTCAACACGGCGTGGGTATTCTTAGTACTGTGCCAACAATGAGGCAATTGAGGTGCAGGGAGGCCCTTACCAGTCCAAGTCATATAGTCAGGAATGGTCAGAGCAATTCACAAGCCCAGGCCACCTGTCTCCCAAGTCTCTGGCTCCTCTGGGCCCCACTGGAGGGGCCTGATCCTGGAGGAATGCCTGGGAATGGCCCAGTGGCCCAGTGTCAACAGGGGGCAGTTTTGCAGATCCCTTTTGGGCCCTACCTCCATTCTCTGCTGAAGGCTTTTAAAACTCAAGATTTTGGATTCTTTTTCAGATCATTCTGGAAAACTATGCATACCCTGGCGTTCTTCTGATTGGCACTGATTCCCATACCCCCAATGGTGGTGGCTTGGGGGCCATCTGCATTGGAGTCGGGGGTGCTGATGCAGTGGACGTCATGGCTGGGATTCCCTGGGAGCTGAAGTGTCCCAAGGTGAGTAGGAAAGGGCTCGCTCCAGGGTAGCCGCGGAGGCGTGGTTGATGGGGATGAATGGGAGATGTGGAACCCAAAAAGGGTGACTGATTAGGTTAGCCTCACACCTCTTTGGGAAGGAGGCAGGGAGAAATAAGCAGAAGTGGGAAATCCAGCAGGTGGACTCCTGGTTGGCAAATGGCACACAGGGCCTGTAATTGCTGTCTTGCCCCACCTATTCAGGTGATTGGTGTGAAGCTGACGGGCTCACTCTCCGGTTGGACCTCACCCAAAGATGTGATCTTAAAAGTGGCGGGTATCCTCACAGTGAAAGGTGGCACGGGCGCTATTGTGGAGTACCACGGGCCTGGCGTAGACTCCATCTCCTGCACTGGTGAGGAAGGTGCCACGCGACGTGGCCCTCAGCCTGCGTTGGGCCTGATGGGGCCTGTAGTTGAGCTGTAGAAGCAGTGAATGGTCTTCCCCTGAGAATTTCTCTAGTCAGTTTGGGGATTGGGGTGGACACTTAGAGGCAGAGGGGAGATGGTTAGTCCAGGTCCCTCTTAAACAGAGGCGGAGATCGAGGCCCCTCCAGGAGGTGAGGGAACTTCCCTGTGGCCACTCAGAATTAGGGGCTGAGCCAGCTTCTGCTTCAAGGCTCTGGCCATGGCACTGGGCCACCTTGGGTGATCGAGAAGAAGGATCCCAGGGAGGGTGGAGGTAGGTGGTAGTGGGAATGAGGAGCCAGAGACAGGTCTTTACCCACAAAGCAGTTCTTTCCCACGTCTTCTCTTGGCTGGAGTGGAACCTCACTCACTTCCTTGGATTGGTAGGAGCCCGCCTCTTTCTCTCCTGGTGACCTGACCTCAGTGCCTGGGCCCCCAGAAACGCAGGGAGACTCGGAACAGGCCTTAGAGATGGTCCATTCCAGGCTTCCCCAGGTGTCTGCCTCAGTGCCACAGAGCTACTGTTCAGCTGGCCCTTGTACCCTTCCAATGATGGGTGGTGGGGTCATCTGACAGGTGGCCCTTACTACTGTTGACAGCTCAGTTAGGAAGTTAATAACAAACCCAGACCTGTGTCCCAGTAGCCCTGTGAGGCCTGTATTTTGAGGGCGGTCAGGACATTGGTAAGCCTTGCCAGTTCTCTGTGGGGCTCTGTGGTCCAGCTGGTGGTCATCATTCCAGTCTTACTGCTGGAAAGCCTGGGAGCCAGAACATTTCCACATAGCACCGTGTGTGGCTGAAAGGGGCAGGCGGACCCAGACCTGAATGTTGCACCCGTGTTTGCTTTATGGCATGACCTTGGACCTCTCTGAGCCGGTTCCCTCCTCTGCAAAGTGAACAGTTACAAATGGGCATCCTGGCCAGGTCAGCCTTCAGTACATGTGGCCAGCTGCTCTGCTAAGTGGGACAGCCAGTCCACAACTAGAGCTCGCCTTGGAGGGGTCTCTTCACTCCGGCCAGCGGCTTCTCTGAGAGCCCCGCACTGAGCTCTGGCCCCCATGGCCTCTTCACTGGCCCTGGTTTTAACTGGGCCACTAGATGGCTGTGTGAGCGAGGGAAGAAGTGACGCCTGCTCCCAGGTGTGTGGGCCCACACCAGCTGCTCAGCCAGCCCCATGGGCTCTGTTCCTCCACAGGCATGGCGACAATCTGCAACATGGGCGCAGAAATTGGGGCCACGACTTCAGTGTTTCCTTACAACCATAGGATGAAGAAATACCTGAGCAAGACAGGCCGGGCAGGTGAGCCAGTGGGAGCAGGTGGTGGGGGCAGAACAGTCAGCAACTGCACCTTTCCCTTTAGGGCAGGGCTCCTAACCGGGTGTCCCCAGACTGACTTCGGGGTTCTGAAAAGCCCCTAAAAGTGTATGAAGTTATGTATGTGCTCTTGTCTTGGAGTTGGGTGTCTATAATTCTCACCAGCTTCTCGAAGGGCCTGGCATCTAAGTTTGAGATATCTCTGCCTCAGTTTTGGGCTTTGGTGTCCCCTGAGAGGGTGGCTGAAGGTCAAATCTTCTTGGCCTGGTCCCTGGTGCCCCCTACAGGATGCTCTGGCAATTACATGGATCTGCTTCTATTTATAATTTCTGCCCTAACAAGGGGAGGTGGAAAAACATTTGCTAACAAGAACCACTTTCCCAGCTTCCCTCACAACTTCCCCGGGGTTCTAGCTTGGCTTCTTTGGTGCTCAGAGTTGGAAATGGGGCCTGCGGGAGGGATCGTTGGAGCCTCTGAAGGGAGGTGAACGAGGGTGATTGGTGGAGCCAGAGGCCAAGGGGCCGGGGAGAGCTTGTCAGTTTGTTTCCAAACTCTGAGCACATGGAGTCCTTCCTAGAAGGCCCTTCCCTCCTGTCCATTACCAAGTAACTTCTCCTTCGAAACTTGGAGCTTCTTACCTGTAGGAAACCTTCCCTGGCTCTGAGCCTCAGTCGGTGTTTCTTCTGTGTTCCCCGGTGTGCCTGTGTGTCTGTCATATTGTGTTGTCACTTCTGGCTCCTTCACTAGACTATAGCTCCTCAAGGGCAGGGGCAGTGTCTGTGCTGTTTGTTTTGTTTGTTTGCCATCAGTGCCCAGGGCCTGGAGTTGGGCAGGTGCTGGGTAACTGTGGCTCAGATGGGTGGGGGGGCGGTGGGTGAACTCTCATGACCAGTTTCTGTTTCAAATGCTTCCGCCTCCCTCCCTGTTGATTTCAGACATTGCCAGCCTAGCTGAGGAGTTCAAGGATCACCTGGTACCCGACCCCGGCTGTCATTATGACCAAGTGATTGAAATTAACCTCAATGAGGTGAGGAAGGGAATGGGATCCAAGGAGTTTCTGAGAGTGGGGAGTTCAGGCCCCATTTGATGTGCCCTGGGGAAGGTCACAGAGGATCCTGGCCTGCACACTAGCAGGGCTCTTGGGCCTCTGGTTCCTAAGTGCCCCTGCCATCTGCTGCCTGAATTGGGCTGCAGTGGGGGGAACTGCAGCAGGGCTCTGTGGCCAAGGGGAGAAAGGAGGAGACTGTGGCTGATGGTGCAGAAACTGGTTCAGTTTGCCACACTTCAGCTTTAGCAAAAACCAAAAGTATGTTCTGGAGTTTGCTTTGTTGACAGAGTTCACAGGTCAAGGTCTGAGATTCCCAAGCCTGAGTGGGATTTGGCACCCTGAGACCTGCAGACCAGGCGAGGGGCCAGGCAGGCTGCAGGAACAGAAGCAGCAGAGGAGGGTGGTCGAAGGTCGCAGCCCTGAGGCCAGCCTGTAGGAGTTCAGATCCTGACTCTGCCAGTTAAGACTGTGACCTTAGGCAAGTTAGTCACCATCTACAGACCTCACTTCATCATGTGTAAAAGCTAATGCAGTCATTGGATTTGAACAGCTCATTCATGTCAATGATTGCTAACGTTTATTAAATGCTTTCTGGGTGCCGGGCACCTTGCTAAGTGCTTCACATTTGTTGATAAGTGTTGTCACATGCAAAGCATCTGGCCTTAAGTCCATTTTGTCTTACGATTCCAGAAGCACCATAGGATGGGGATAATGGACTTAGGAAGCTGACAGCCTTGATTCATTCCATGCCTCTGCCACCTCCTAGCTGTGTGACCTTGAGCAAGGCACGTCAGCCCTTCATCTGCAGACTGGAGATAATGCAAACCTGGCAGGGCTGGAGGGATCTCAGGAATTGTGCATAGGATGAGTTTTGAACCCTAAGAACAGTAGTTGGCCACCCAGGCTCTCCATAGGGGCTTGTTGAGCGGGAGCCCGACAGCCTCTGAGGAGGAGAGGCTGTCCACACTCCAAGATCTGTTCTCTCCCCTCTCTTTCTGCTTCTCATGCCTTTTTTTCCTTCAGCTGAAGCCCCACATCAATGGGCCCTTCACCCCTGACCTGGCTCACCCTGTAGCAGAAGTGGGCACTGTGGCAGAGAAGGAAGGATGGCCTCTGGACATCAGAGTGGGTGAGCACCTCCCACCCTGTCGGGTTAACAGGCCTCAGGGCCAGTGGGTCTGCCCAGGGCTATGGATGATCGCCTGTGCTCACCACAGGGTGCTTCTGAATGTACCAGGCACTTTCTGAAATTGTTTGGTTTTTCCTTATGGCTTTTTAAAGAAATTGCTTTTTCTTGGTATGAAAGAAATATGTTCATTGTAAAACACCCCCAATCTCAGCCCCCACCCGGAAACCAGCTGTGGGGATTCTTTGAGAGGTATACGTACCTGTTCGTGTGTGTATCCTGTTTTACAAACGTTTCGTCCTACTGCCCAGGGACCCTGATTTCACGTGTGTGTATGGACACTGGCATGTCAGTATCACTAGCACCTGCCATTGTCACAGACAGTGTGGCTGTGAAGAGCATGGGCTCTGGAGCCAGGTGGCCTCGGTTTGAATCTGGCTCTGCCACTTCATAGTGGGGTGACCATGAGCAAGTTCCCACACCACCCAGTGCCCTGGCTCCCTGTTTGTGAAATGGGGTGATGACCGTGCTTACCTGTTGAGGTTCTTGGGGGGAACGACGAGTTGGTATGTGAAGAGCTTCTGCGTGTGCGGCATAAAGTGCTGTGTAGTGTGTTCTCCCTTCTTAGGGCAAGCACAGAAAATATTTTGTGGTTTAATAATTAGAAAATAAATAGCTGCGTTGATAAGAAACTGTCTTGATGTCTATAGATAATGTGTCATCCAGTCTTTATTGACTTTTGTAATAACTATGATAGACTTTTAAAAAATAACTCTTTCCCCCCCTGATTATAAACCAATATTAAAAAGCCAGAGAATTCTAGAAAGTCTAAAAGAAGAAAGCATCTCCTCTAAGCCCTTGCCCAGCAGCGGTCTCTCCATGTCTCAGTGGGAGCCCTCTGGTGTGCACACATGTGCAGATTAATTATTGTAGGGACAAGCGGCATGTTCAGCGGCCACACTGTCTTCCCTTAAATGGCTGGGTCATGAGTAGCTACTCTTTACTGCTGGACAGTTAGGTTGCTTCCAGTTTGTCTCTGTTAAGAACAGCCCCTGGCCCAGCACAGTTGGTGAACAATTGACCAGGTCTGGATAGTTGAGGTTAGGTGGAGACCTCTGGCCACTGTCTCCTCCTGACTCCTGCTCCACTGCCCACAATGCACCAGGTCTGATCGGCAGCTGCACCAACTCCAGCTATGAGGACATGGGGCGTTCAGCAGCTGTGGCCAAGCAGGCGCTGGCCCACGGACTCAAGTGCAAGTCTCATTTCACCATCACACCGGGCTCTGAGCAGATCCGAGCCACCATTGAGCGGGATGGCTATGTGAGTTCCCACGTGTCCCTGGCCCTAGCTCCCACCCACTAAGTAATGTGGCTTCAGGACAGGACAAGCCATAACCTTGTCCACTGGGCTGCTCAGGTCCCTGCAGCTGCCCCAAGATCCCAGTACAGCTCTTCATTCCTCAAGTGGCTGAACCACCTTTCCTTGCGCCTGACAGTTTCTGGTCCTTCTTTCTCTGCCACAGGCACAGATCCTGAGGGATGTGGGCGGCGTGGTCCTGGCCAACGCCTGTGGTCCCTGCATTGGCCAGTGGGACAGGTGAGAGACACATCTTTGGTAGGACAGTCCCTGTGTCCTGGGGTTTGGAGCCCCAGATGTTGAAGGGAGATGTTATTGGGTTGGAGAGGAGACTAGCTTCAGGAGGGACTGGGAAGTTGGGCTAGAAGTAAAGGAAGAGCCCTGCAGTGGGACTGAGTGGCCACCTGCCTGAAGCCTGGGCTGGTGGGAAGAAGCCAAGGAGGCCTCATCCTAATTGGCACAGCAGGGGCTCCCACAGCATTTGAAGGGAGTCAGTGACCCCTGAGGTACCCCCTGCTCTCTGCATGAGTCCCACAGTGGAGGCTTGATTCAGGGTCTTCCCATGACCCCTTCTCTCAAGAGCTAGGCAGAATGGGCCATGTGACAAGGCCAGACATCCCTAACCCTGTTCTCTGACCTGGCAGAAAGGACATCAAGAAGGGCGAGAAGAACACAATTGTCACCTCCTACAACAGGAACTTCACTGGCCGCAATGATGCGAACCCTGAGACCCATGCCTTTGTCACGTCCCCGGAGGTGAGATGACCTAGCCAGGCCCTGGCATGGGACTGCCTCTGGGGGCCCTGCCCCTGGCCAGTCAGGGGAGATGGGGCTTGGGGCAAGGGCATCTGACGGGCCTGCTCTGGGAGGGTTGGCATTGCAGGGCAAGGGGTTATGGGAGCAGCCACCAAGGCCACAGGTCTTGCCAGCAGCAAGCATCATGCTCCCCCAGTGCCCCCTGCCTGGCCCCTCGTTTCAGGAGCCAGAGGTGCTTGTTTAGTACAATTGTGATCACCACCAGGAGCTTTGGAATTCCCACTGAGACAAATGCCAGCCCCGCCTCTACCCAGCCGAGTGGGCTTGGCCAGGTCACTTTCTCTTATGTGCCCCGGGATCCTGTCAGGATTACATGAGTAGCCCACAAAGCACTGGCACTGTCTCAGCCAGATGGGGCCCTGTTGTTATGATAAACATGGAGTGAGTCCGGCTCTCAGGCACTTAGTGGGGGTTCAGTTTCAGCCATTGTCGGCACACAGGCCAGTCTTTCTTGACTTGATTTTTTAAATGTGTGTTTGAGAAATACTTTTATTTGCTAAAAATGGGTAACGAGATGTCCTTTCATGTTTCCAGTGTGCTACCTGCCTAGGGACATTTTCATCATAGCNATGGGTAACGAGATGTCCTTTCATGTTTCCAGTGTGCTACCTGCCTAGGGACATTTTCACCATAGCATTTCTGTGCCGGGGTGTCTCCCGGTCCAGGATGGCACACCTATGAGAGGAGAGTACCCAGCAGTGCCAGCCCTGCCCTGAGGGAGGGCACTGAGGTCCAGACCCAGTGGGGAGTGGTCGAGGCCAGACTTCCCTGGGTTCAGGAGTCCTCTGTAGACCCAGTGGCCCGTGGTCCCAGAGATATTCCTGAGCTGCACCCTGTTTTGATCTAGGATTTGGCTGGGAATGGGGGACGGGAGTGGTGGTTCGTGCTAACCAACAAACTGGCCACCTGTTTCAGATTGTTACAGCCCTGGCCATTGCTGGCACCCTCAAGTTCAACCCAGAGACTGACTTCCTGACAGGCAAGGATGGCAAGAAGTTCAAGCTTGAGGCTCCAGATGCGGATGAGCTTCCCCGCACGGTGAGCAGGCACTGTGCCTCCTGTTCTCAGCCCTGCGGGCCTCAGGCCACTGCCCAGTGCTATGTGGGCAAGACCCTTCCTGGTATCTTGGCCCTGTCTATCCTGGGCTGGCATGGATGGCACCATTAATGAGAATGAAGCAGCTATATTCACTGGGAGGGAGGGGCTTCGGGCATGGGGAGCTTGCCTTCTGTGAGAGAGGGGACTGAGGACTCAACACCCACGTTCCTGTCCCCCTGCAGGATTTCGACCCTGGGCAGGACACCTACCAGCACCCTCCCAAGGACAGCAGTGGGCAGCGGGTGGACGTGAGCCCCACCAGCCAGCGCCTACAGCTTCTTGAGCCATTTGACAAATGGGATGGCAAAGACCTGGAGGACCTTCAAATCCTTATCAAGGTCAGCGGTGTGGGGACAGGATAGAACAGCCCCAGCCTGCCAGGGCTCCCTTCCCTGATCGGCAGGAAGGCCATGACACCACGTGTTCTCCCCTGGGCATGGGGAGGAGAAGGGCATGGTTAAGGTGGGGGCGGGAAGGGAAGTTTGGCTGCAGAGGAGCAAGGGCATCTGCAGCCCAGTGTCCCCTTCACTGCCCCGTGCCAGGCAGAGCTGGATCTGGCCAGCTGCTGTCTGGGGCTCTCAGCCATCCGGCTGCAGCTGGTAAGGCCTCCTCCAGTGGGTGTGGCAGTGAATGCCCCACAGAGGGCAAGAAAGGCATGTGTGACCCAGCAAAGCCGGTCTCCACCCCTGGTGAAGCCATTGATTGTTCTGTTCCCACAGTTCGGCATTAGTGGTGTGGCCTGTGTTTGGGAGCTGAGCAGCCACTAGCCTTTGTGGTGTAGCTGGAGGCCTCAGCCCATGTTGGCCATGAATGTATGCTGTTTACTGAAGGGTCTCTGGGCAGTGATGCAGCTGGTATTAAGCCAGGACCCGGACACATCCCCTGGCCCTTCTCTGTGTCCAGCATGGGTCTGTACTGTCTTCCAGCCTGTGCATCTCTTACGGGGGGCCAAGGCCTGAAGGGTGACCGAGCGACCCCTCCCTGTCCACCCTGTCTAGCCTGCCCCCTTTGAGTGTCCTTCCTTGGAGATCTCACTCCCAAGGCCATTGAGGGGTGGTTGATGGCCTTGCCTGCACTCTCTTGGCCAGAGGTGACAATGTCAGGACTGCAGACCACCTGTCTTGCACCTCTTTTCTGTCACCCTTCCTGAGTCCTGGCTACTGGGGCCTGCTGCCTGTCTCTAGAGGGCTTCTCCCCTAATCCACAATCAAGGGCCACACTCAATCTCTCTTCTCTGCCCACCCACCCAAGGTCAAAGGGAAGTGTACCACTGACCACATCTCAGCTGCTGGCCCCTGGCTCAAGTTCCGTGGGCACCTGGACAACATCTCCAACAACCTGCTCATTGGTGCCATCAACATTGAAAATGGCAAGGCCAACTCTGTGCGCAATGCCGTCACCCAGGAGTTTGGTCCTGTCCCTGACACTGCCCGCTACTACAAGGTGGGTCAGAGTCAGTGGGGTCAGGGGTTGGGGTCCTCTGGCACCTCCTGGTGGCTGGGTGGCACAGAGNTTGGGGTCCTCTGGCACCTCCTGGTGGCTGGGTGGTCCAAGGAAGGGCTGCTCTCCACCCAGGAGCCCACACCAATAGCCCTGCAGTTGAACAATGTCCCGGTGCCATGGAGGCAATCCCGTGTGTGTCACCTCCACTGTACACCCACTGCTCTGGATCCTGTTCCCCACTGTGGCCCTCCACCCAGCCTGCCTCCGTGCTGCGGACCGATGGGTGGATTGCACCTCCCCTTGCCTACTCTAGATGGGCAGGGCCCATGTCTCAAATCGCCTGTCCCCTCAGGGCCTGGGTTGGGCTTGATTCACCTCTGATTTCACCTGCCCTTGGGGAGCAGGTGAGGGGCCTCTGCGGCCCCTGACTTGCGAACTTAAGGAAGCCCAAGGGCAGGGTGGGCAGGGCCAGGTCCTCTCCCTCAGACCTCACTTCTTCCTCGCCTGACAGAAACACGGCATCCGGTGGGTGGTGATTGGAGATGAAAACTATGGCGAGGGCTCAAGCCGGGAGCATGCGGCACTGGAGCCCCGCCACCTTGGGGGTCGGGCCATCATCACCAAGAGCTTCGCCAGGATCCACGGTGAGCCGGAGCCCTATCCCAGCCCCACCTGCTCCCCCTCACTGGCAGCCCAAGGTCACCTAGTGGCCGAGTTGGGCCTGGAGCCACATGCCTGGTTTCCAGGCCGCGCCCATGGCTCCTGCTTTCCGTGCCCTCCAGCCTCTGCCCCTTCGGATTTGTGTTGAGTCCACGCCCACAGCTTCCCATCACTGGGAGCACTGATCTTGCTTCCAGCCTTGTGGACCTGAGCACTGAAATCCAGGGCACCTGGTCCAACGGTCTTTCTGCTGGTGAATGTCTATCAGGAGGCTTTACAGAGGGAGACAAGCGCACACTTGTGTAGGGCCCTAGCGAGGCAGCACGCCACTGGGAGTGCAGCCGGCCTGGGCTTTGTCCCACCCCAGGTTTGTCCCAGGTGGTAGGACTAGGGTGTCTCCTGGAGCCCTAACTGGACTTGAAAAGGAAACTCTCTGGCCTGACGAGGGTCCTGCACAGAGAAGGGGGACGGGGCCCTGCCCACTGTGGACTATGTGCTCTTTGCCTTCCAGAAACCAACCTGAAGAAGCAGGGCCTGCTGCCCCTCACCTTCGCCGACCCAGCCGACTACAACAAGATTCACCCCGTGGACAAGCTGACCATCCAGGGCCTGAAGGACTTTGCCCCTGGCAAGGTCAGGGAGCCAGGGAAGGAGGGCAGGCTGGCCATCCCATCTCCCCAAGGGCCCTCCTGAGGGGGCAGTACAGGGGGCAGCCACCTTGCTTCCCCTTCTACACTTGGCCCCACCTGCACCTCTTCCCATGAGCCTTTGTTCCAGGTGGAAAATTCTCCAGCCGACCCCCAGAGAGGGAAGGAAGTGCCTCCCAGCGATGAGGGTGGGGCCAGCTGAGGCCCTCCTACTGTTCACTCATTAGCCCTTACTTGGCCTCAGGAGTTATGCTATTCAGATCTTACCACTGCCACCTAGGCCCAGACCAGGCCTAGGACTTGGTTCACCTGCTGGCACCCAAGGCCTGCCCCAGGGTGGAACCCTGCCATTCTGACCCTCCAGCAAAACCCAGGGCCACGGTCCTAAGAGCCACGCCACCCACACCCACCTTCTCTCTTGCAGCCCCTGACATGCATCATCAAGCACCCCAATGGGACCCAGGAGACCATCCTCCTGAACCACACCTTCAACGAGACCCAGATTGAGTGGTTCCGTGCCGGCAGTGCCCTCAACAGGATGAAGGAGCTGCAGCAGTAAGGTCCCGCTCTGCCACCGCCATCCTGCTCCTCAGACTCAGCTCCCGTGTCACAGTGCAGTGCTGCATGTCATCAGAACCAGATCTGAGTTGACCCAGCCGGGCTTCCTGCACTGAGACGGGGTGGCCAGGCCTCCTGCCCCCTCCCTCAGCCCACGGAGTGACCATGGTTGGAGTGACCCATGGGTTGGAGGGCTGTTAACCTGCCTTCCCATTTGTAGTTTGGTTCAGATCCTGAGCACCTCCATGCAACTGTATTTATTTTTGATGACAAGACTCCTATCTAAAGTTTTTCTCCTGTCTGATCATTTCACTGGTGGCTGAAAGGATTTTAAAGCACCTTTTGGTCTTGCAAGGAAAATAAGAATCCACATTCAGTGACTGTTCCTGTGTATGTGTGGTGTCTGTGCTGTTACCGACTCCAGGGTTTGGGGGGTCTTTTCACCAAAGCTGGTGGAGGCCCTCGATAACCGCCATAGCTGGACCCGTCTGCAGTGAAGACGTGAGCTGGCAGGCCCCCCCCCCTTCTTTTTTGTTTGTTTTTATTGATTTGAGAGAGAGAGGAAGGGAGATGGGGAGAGAGAAACATCAATGATGAGAGTCATTGACCAGCTGCCTCCTGCTGGGGATCAAGCCTGAAACTCCGGCATGTGCCCTGACCCAGAATTGAACCACGATCTCTTGGATCCTAGGCTGATGCTCAACCACTGAGCCATGCCGGCCAGGCTCAGCCCCTCTTCTGCCTTAACCCACTTCTCCCTCTATTCCAGGGTGGGCCGGGGGCTGGGCCCAAGGTGCAGCTTCCCAGGGGAAGGCCTTCCCTGCCCATGCAGTTAAAACCAGGCCCCAGTGGTAGTGTGCCAGACACCACTGCCTCCCCTTCCTCTGGGCACTCAGTCCTCCAAACACAAGTGGGCACAGGCCACCCTGTCCAAGGTCACAGCTAGTCCATTAATGCACACTGTCCCCTGGCCCTCAGCATGAGGCAGTGACAGTCACCCATTTCACAGTTGCTCTTCTCCCTGGAACCACACCCACTGGCACTACCCACACCTCTGCACTCTGGTGCCCCGTGTGGGCCAGAAAGGCCAGGGCGTGGGGCCCCTTCACCAAGACTTACTACAAAACCAGTGTCCTGGTCCCAGCAGAAGTGGGTGAACCTGGCAAAACCATTCTGCCGAATAAACAATGGGGTGCTTGTCCTCATGCCAGCATCCCCAGATCCTGTGGCAGACCCACAGGGTGTTCCTGGTGCCATGGCCATGGTCTGAGAGTGACAGCTGTCCCCAAGCTTCTTGCTGTACCGATGAGGGGGGTGGACACAGCTGGTCACCTGTCCTCACCTTGAGCCAGCAAAGCCCACAGCTTCTACCTCCCATGTGCTAGTGGGAAGGTGTTTGTCCCTTAACTCCCAGGCTCTTCTTAGCAACTGACAGCCCGCATGCCCCAAGGCAGCTCCCCCAGGCCAGCCTCTCACTCCCTGTGCTACCTTCCGGAGCCTCCAAGTCCCACCAGCCCAAAGCCTGGTCTGAGGAAGCCTGGATCTCAGCTCCTAAGTCCTGCCATTTGTGGAGGGCCATCTCCACAAGTGATTCAAAGAGAGGAAGGACATGCTGTCCCTGCTGTGGCAACCCCGTGACCTTAGGTCATGACAACACCAGTGAGACAGGGATGGCTCCTCAACTGCTGCTGTCACTGTTTATTGAATGTCTTTGCTGTCACTGAGAGCAGGACTTCCAAAGAGATGAGCAGGCCGGGGGGCAGGGAAGGAGAGAGCTGGTCCCGCCCGGCAGGCCCTGCCACACATACTCTGCTCCTTGGCATTCTGAGGCTGCTGCTGTCTCCAGGCACCTTCCAGAGGTCGGGGTGGGGTCTGCAGACCAGGCTGGTCCCCCGTCAAGGCCCAGGGTTAGCTGCTGGTCCACCAGGAGAGAAGGCCCAGGCCCGGCTCACTAATGGATCCCTGCCGGGGAGAGAACGGGATACATCTCACCTACCTTCAGGGCTTGAGCCAACTAGGACAGGAGGCAGGAGCCTTGTTCAGGGTCCCCAGCAGGCCCAGCGCTCCCAGCTGGCTCACGAGCACACGGCCAGACACCCCCCC